TCAGAAAGCAAATATAAGAGGTGCACAATGGAATGGAGCTAATAACTCAACTTGAGTGGAGATGAGCCCTCCAAAATGACTGACAGTTTTCTCCTGAGTATCTGACCAACTTTCATTTTGGTGCCATAAATGCTTATTTCGTTGCCCAGATAGATGCATCCCATGGATTCCTTAAGTTCTTTAACATACTGAATTCCCTTCCCACCAACCCTATGTCTTCCACATCTTCATACTCTGAGCGTGTTCTCAGACTTCTGGGCAGGTCTTTCTCCCCCTTCCTCTAATGAACTATTAACAATCTATCAATTTTTGCCAGTCTACACTAATAAGGACAGTTGACCAGTTAATGTATTTCATTGATAAAGTAGTTTAATAGGAGGGAGGAAAACATCTTTCACAGTAGAGGAGTGGGAAGGGTCAGTGTGGGTGGGAAGCTGCTAGAAGTTGCCCTCTTTGCGGGGAGAGCAGGACTCAATGGCCAGAATATAGCTAGCAGTAAGAAGTAACCAGCTTCATCCATGTGTAAAGAGATCCTTTTGGTGAGCTTTTCTTGAATAGAATGTCAGGTTGTGACGGGATGGCCACACTGATGAGCAAAGGAAGGAAAGACTGAGTAGGCAGGGCGGAGGCAGATAGCGGAGGGTTGTCAATGGTTACGCTGAAAAGGAAGGATTGCTTTAAGTATATCTTTATTAATTCTTTGGAAATTTTATACACACATACAATGTATCTTGATCATATTCATTCCCAACTCCTCCACAAATCCTCCCATTCACCTCAACACCTTTCCCATTTTTGTGTCCTCGTATTCTCTTTTTAAACTATTTTTAATAACCCGTCAGGTTCAGTCTGTGCTGCCATATACTCATTGTTGTGGGCTACCAAGAGGACCATGGTTGATCAACTGGGGGCCACACCCTTAAAGCTGACTGTCTCTCTTCAGCAGCCATCTTCTGTCCATAGCTCCTCAGCTAGGAGCGGGGTCTGCGAGACCCTCTCCCCCCCACAGGAATGTCTTTATATTGGGATAAAGAGCAAAAGACTTAACTAAAATAATTTTAAAGAATACTTTCATTGCTTAGAATTCAGGGGATGGGCATGCAATCACTGTCTTGGACAGACCAATGAAATCAAAGGTACTAGAAAATGCAGAAAGAAAAAAAGGCACAACATGAAAATACAGCAAAAAGAAAAGGTACAACTAAGGAGCCAGAGGAGCCAAACTCTTCCTGATGTGAACGAAGTGGCCTCTGGGAAAGGACCAACAGGCACAAAAGTGTGCTGCAGCCACTAATGGCGGCCTTCACCATCATTGCTCCTGAGCTTCCCTGTGACAGCTGGGTGCTCATCCTAAAGTCCCTGTCTACCGAGAAGCCTATCCACATATGACTTTCCCAAATTCATGAGCCATCTTCCCCAGATACACACACGCCACCACACATGCAGACAATGGCACATGCATTCAGGGAGACTGCCATCTTTCCATGGTTCCATTGCAAAATAAAAGTGCAAACCAGAAACTAAATCCTTAATGTACTCAGGCTGAGAGCTTTCCCGCTCGCTGTCCTCAGAAGACAGCGTGGGAGGTAATAAACAATTCATAAAAATTAAATGTTTCTAATTAAAAACTTCACCTCATAAGCTTTATCTTGGAACATGCTTCCCATTTTACACACTACCAGTTTATTATGGTAGTCTAAGTTTTAATTAAGATATAGTCCCTTTTTATATAAATCTAATTTGGATGGCTTGAGAAAAATGTGACTGCACACATTTTATCTTTTCAAATATTCAAGTATATCAAATTATAGTTTGTCAATATTGATCAACGCAAAGGGTCTTTTTGAAAAATCACAAGACTGAAAAGAATTACTTTTGTACTCATATGAAAATTGCCAGTATAAGGAAAAGCATCAAAAAGTACCATGCAGATAATATGAAAACTATTTCTATGATACACTTCCATTCGAATGTGTGTTAACTATCAAATGCCAGAAAATAAAATGTGCTGTTACACTGATTTTCATCCTTATTGTGTTTATCCTATCCTATGATCATATTAACAACTTCCATTTATAAATTAATCACTGCTATGGCTAATTCTATGTAGTGATGTTCATTTCAAAGCACCAGCTTTTGAAATTTGGATCTTGAGTTTTACATGCACCCCCGTGACTGCTGACCCTCAGGAAGCAATGTTTTCCTTTAAGGAACACAACAACAGGCCTTTGCATACATCTACCAGTAGATGGAGCAGACAGCATAATTTATTACAAAGAACAAGGGCAATGGAAGAAAAATCAGCTTCTCTGGAATAAAACAAATCTGTAAATGAGATTTTCTTCAAAGGAAATGTGCCCTGTATGTGCTAGATTTGGTTTGACTGGTTACTGAATCAAAATGAATAACTTTATTAAATAATCAATCTTTGCAGAAAGATAAATTAAATTTACAAATGGGAGGCATTGCTTGCATTTTACTTTACTCAAATCAACTAAAATTAGTTTTCCTTTCAAAAAAATTTTACAGGGACAAAGACTTTTTGATGTGTTCATTTAGTAAGGACGTTAAACACAATCCTGCTTTACAGGTGGCGAGTGCATAACGAATAGTATTTTCCAGGAAATATAATTGACTAATCCTGTTATGTCTGTAGCAACAAATTAACCTTATTACTACTAGTAAATGGTGATTGATTATTTATGCAAATAAGTGTTGCCATGTTCAGCTTTCTGATTGAAATAAACATATAAAAAAGGTGCTTTACTATAACTTGAACTTTTTAATTAATAAAGCCCTGAGGGGGTCTATTAATTCGCTCATTGCAATATTAGTTATTTACTCATGTAACTCCTGTCAGCACAAACATATTTGCTTGAATAAAGATGAGATAACAATAAAAATTATGAATAGCTTCTAAGACTATTTAAAAATGTACATCAGATTCATGCTAAAATAGGCTTAAAATAAGTTTAAATTTTAAATTATGTCATCAAATATCAATATATCAGCATAATCAGTCTATAGCTAATTCACTAAATAATATTATCCATATCTGAATTAACAAACACAATTTTGCCCTTAAAAATTCTTCAGTGTTTTTAAAGCATTATTCATTATAGTAGGTTCAATATTATTTGAGTATTATTTATTATTATTAAATTCCTACTAACTATAGGAATTTAATGCTATAATTAGTATGTACAATGAATATTAATATTATTATTATTAGATTTTTGGAACCTCCAATAAACTATGTTCTCCTTTAAAAATGTTACAGGGTTTCTTTTTACACAGTTCAACAAAACTGTTTGTACATGGATATACTTCTCACAAAAAGTATGTACACTTGTTATTGACAATTAAAACACAGATCTTTTGAAACTGAGATTTCCTACAGTAAGCAGTCCATAGTAACCTAAACAATTAAGAATAGTTTTAAATTCAGAGTTCAATTGCCATCCACTAGCCAAATCACCAAGGAAATGAGTAACAATACTCCCATAGAAGTATGTGGGTTTCATTTTTTATTTAGGGAAAGTATTTTAAATTCCTTGATAAATAGAACAGAACAGCAAAATCATAAATGAAAATGGCTGTTAATTGGAGTGAGACTGCTTATGGACAGCAACTTTCTCCTATTAAAAAGTTTCATGCCAGGAGATTGGAAGGAGGCTGTGTGCCCACGCCAAGTGTCTCTTAGGATGCACTTCCATGCCCTCAAAGCCCAGCATGGTACCCATGGAGGGCAGGAATTCAGAGACGTGGGATTCAGAGTAACAGGCTGAGGTGAAGTCATGGTCAGTGTAGTAAATCTTTGTAGCCTTTGAATTCCACCTCTCTTATATTATTTTGACAAACTGTTTAAAACAAAGCGGAACAGATCTGATGGGAGGACAGGAAAGGCATGCATTTCCCGGCATCAACTGCCCGCACTCCCGATCTCATGGACAGATGAACAGACTGGACAATAAGATGTTTGTCTGGGGGGGTGTCCACAGGTACAGAGGTTATTCATTTATCTCTTTTTAGTTAACCATAGTTAAATATCAAGATTTTGGTAACTACGTATATCAAATTGCCAAACCAACAAAATCTCTGACATTTTATAGTATTCTTCTCCAAGGGAGAAGATTGGATAACACATCTTCGCCTGCAATGTCCTAACGTCAACAACATTATGTAAAGCGAAGGTGGAGGACACCCATACGGAGACACCACTCTAAATATCTCTAGTTAATTATAATATAGACTAAATGGATAACTAAAATAAATAAAAGAAAGGAGCCAGCTCTGTTCTTCCACTATTAGGTCCTGGGGCTTGAACCCAGGTCATCAGGCTGGTGGGAAGTACTTTTACTTACTGAGCCATCTCACCAGCCAATTCATGCATTTAAAGCCATATCTCTCTGGGAAGAATATTCCAAATGCAATGGACTTTCTCAGCAATTGTAGCAAAAATCTTAAGAATAAATTTCTAAGTGTTCTAAATTTCACAGTTATCTCTCCATATGAAGTTGTAAATGCTGAGGCAATTTGCTGTTAAAGCTTTTTACCTGACAGCTTCCATCAAAACTTAGAAAAGGAGAAAGAACAGTCATAATCTCAGCATTTGCTCAACTAAAAGAGAAAAACTGAAAGCCAGCTCAGCTTAATAACTTGCTAGCTCTTGATCAATTCACAACACAACAACGAGCCAACGAGCCACTTGGACTAGTGTTGAAGGCGAGGTTCTGCCCTCCGTGTTGTGTTATCAGCTGGCGGACCACTCTGCTGACCGGGACCTTTCCACCAGCGGCTCAGCGGCTGCCTCTAGGAAGCTCTGTCACAGACCCATCCCAGCGCCTGCGCGCACCTACACAGAGACAAGAAATTGAACTCGAAGTAGTGTCTTTGTGGTATCTTTTCAACAAGTCATGTCCTATTCAGCCTGCTACTTTATCTCTGTCAGCGAGGGGTCCAGGTGGCTCATGGGAGCTGCCAGGCACAGGTAGACTAACCTGCTTTGTGCTGAGCAGGTAATGCATCTTGCGGGCTTGCTGATCTCTTTGCTTCTCTTCCCGCTCCAGGCGAGCCTTCCTCTCTTCTCGCTCTTTCATCTCTGCAAATTCCTCCAAAGCCTCCCTGCATCAAAATTGTCAGCAGTTACTCTGATGACATCTGTTGAGTCCCTAATTCTTTCACTGATGAAAATCAAGATTTTTGAGGGGCAATGATCACCCACATCCATCAAAATCAAGGGTGCAATTTATCTTGCCTGTGAATTCTGTGGAAATCGTTGCCCTTGTTAGACAGCGTCAAGTGACTTTTTCCTGATGGAGTTTTCAACACCAAGAGGGTACATGTTATAATTAATACAATAGCAAAAGAAATGTCAAAATCCAATGCAAAGTGAGTGGCTTTCTACATCCCCAGTTTCTTTTGTTGAAGAGTCGCTAAATATCCCAAGAAACATGTGCCTTAAATTTTAGTTTGTGTTTACAAATGTCTACTTATTTTGCATACTAATCACTGTTTTTTAAAGTGCAGACTTTTTATATGCTTAATTGATTCTATGTTTACTTCAGTTCACAGTTCAATTAATACCAATAATATTACACATATTATCCTGCATCTAAAGTGGCATTATATTCAATTACATAAATAATTTAAATAAAGGGTTACGTTAAGTTAAAATCTTTCTAAGGCATGAAAAATTCCACTAAAATAATGAAATTTTTAAATGAAAAAATTAAATGAAAAATAAGCTTCAAATTATACTGTGTGATAAATAGCTTCCAAATAGGACATGATATTATCAAATAAAGAAGAAGGACTACATCTTTTGTTTCCTTTGGACAAATTTATCACTCATGTCAGAGCAGCATTTTAATACTGCTGTTTTATTTTAAAAATAAATACATAATTTGGTGTCTACTTTCATATGTAAAATCTCCAAGAAAGCATCACAGCTTTTGCTTCATATATGTCAGGGAAAACTAAAAGGAGATAATCCAAAAAAATAAAAATACAGGCTTCTCCTTGCTACCTGACTGTGGCGGAGTATCTGCTGCAGTGCCTGTTACAGGCTGCTAACACTCCACACAAGGTTACTTACGAAACACCCCGACATTTAAACATCACCATGCTAGGCTACTGCAGCAGAGCAATTTTTTTCAACATAAGATTAAATTGCAAAATAAATGAATTACTTGGAGTGGCACAGCCCCCATTTTGTCACCCTTCCCTTGAAAATTGCTTATTAATATGAAAAAGAAGGCAGCAAATATGTATGGTATGGTATTTGGGGTTTCTGTACCCACTAACCTGGACTAGCTGCACATTTAGATTGTGCTGGCAAGCTGGTACAATGACCCCTCTGACTGCATCTTGAGGCGATTATTAATCGCTAAGTAACCCAGTAAAGCTAAACAAATCTGTTTCCATTGAAAGCATCTCTGTCTGTGTCTGCGAGTTTGTTCTGTACCAAACAAACCTCATTAACTGTGTCCACTTTTTGACAAAGAACCAGGAGTTAGAGGAATTGGTGACCTTTCTTTGTCCTTAACGTACACGTTTCAAGACAGTTACATATGAGCAAATGAGAATTTTTACCAGGAAATATACAATCAAGTTACACAAAAAAAGTAAGTGCATTATACATTTTAGTCTTTACTTTTGTTGGTTTATAAAAATATTTGCATGCAAAATAAGCAATTTCTCAGTGATTCCCCCGATAAGCCTCTGAGATAATGTAGAATAACAAGCGGAGGTGCCGGTTATCCCAGTTTATGTCGTGGAGAAACAAGCACAGACGACAACTCATCTACCGTCAGCAATGGATGAGAAGCTGGTCTGGCGGGGTTTCTGAGTGCAGACAAGACTGCAGCACCTCCGTCCACACCCGAGATGGAGACAATACTTTCTACCGAGTCAGCCACGCACATCTTTTATCTTATGTTCCTGTTCTCTACTATAAAAAATACTTGAATTTTCTGTACCACTTTGTCTATAAAATATTTTGTGATAGTACATAAAGATTAAAACTACTACAAATATGGAGATTTATTTTTTAGTACATTTTAGCAAAGGATTTTATAGTGATAAATATTTGCACATTCTAGAATGGCAGGGATAATGAAAATAAAAGTAGCCACTGGGAGGCAATATAGTGGAGTAGTTAGGAACCTACTCTGCAACGACCCTGGTCGCACAAACTGCACTGTGCTGTTCAACCTCTGAACTTCAAAACCTTCATCTAGAAAGTGTAAACACACTAATACTGCCATCCTTCTTGTTGGCTATGGTGAGGATCAGATACGCTGAATCTACGCAGAGTATTACTATGCAAGCATTAGTTTTCTTCAGCCCTCCCTATGCATGAGGTGCAAGGTTACTACTCCCTTTATTTACTACAGATTTGCCATACTGTGTCTAAATCCTTCGATGTCTTTCCTTCTGATGGGTACGTACTGTGTGGGTGAAATGCCACAGTGAAAACACGGTATCTGGCTGCCTAAGAGGCATGAGATGTGAAACTGTCACCCATGAGGAAGAGGAGGACATGAACAGGTGACTAAAGCTCTCTTTCCTCAGTCCTCATACCACACGCTGGGGCTGCTTCACCTTGAGGAGAGGGTTCACCTTGTGAGCTTGGAAAAAATCTCCGTGGCTACAAAGATGTCTGCTGGGCTCTGTTGCATCACTATGTGTGGAGGGCGTGGCCAGAGCTGGTGCTTACATATCACCATCATAATCCCCAATCTTAGACCAAAGCACCCTAGCCTGCAGCTGCCAGGAGTGCTGGCTGCTGACTGGTTACAGCTAACCTCACTGGGGGAAAGTAGCTCTGCTACCTTCTCCTTGCAGGTGGCATTTGTTGACTAAGGAAGGAAACACAGGCTCGGAGCGTAGCCTTTGCCCTACTGTGGAGCACTTTACTGGCCATCCAAATCCTAAGACTGGCTGGCATCAATAAAGTGCATTAAAACCTGTCCACTCTTCCTCTTTTCAGCTTCTATTCCTTGCTCACTCACTAGATCAGCCTCTGGAAGTCTCTTTTCACTGGAGATATGCACACGAAGTCACTTTCCACTGGAGGCATGCGCACTGCCCTTTCCTCACCCTTGCTGCACTGATCCTGAGCATCCCAAAGCACCAGCACTTTAGTCTTGTTTTCTCCTAGGATATATAAATTATCTCCCTCATGACTCATGTCCTCTTAGTGAAGAAAAGCCCCACTGGACAGACTATCAGCCTGGCTTTACAGATTAGGAGACGATCTCCACCAAACACCCACAACTAGAAAGTGGAGTTGGGCTCCAGGTCTGACTTCAAAATGTATGCCTTTAATCATGACATTAAATTCGCATTATATATTTTGCTTAATCTAGTATTAGATATTGATAGGCTTTCTCTTTCTGAGAAAACTACTAAACATCATAGTGCCTGCACTATTTTTTTAAAGCATGGAAGAGGATAAAGATAAGATGGGACAATTTTAAATTAACTACTCTATTATCATCAGTTCTTAGCATTAGAAGGAGATGTCTACATAGAAACATGGAGCGTGATTTTTATTTACAGCCATGAGTTTCTCTTCCTTCGGTACACTTTCCACTTGTTATTTACCGATTAAGTGAAATGGGCAGGGTGCATGTTTCCAATTTTCAAAGGATAAAAAAAATGCTTTGAAGCGATTAGGCAGCCAGAACTCACAAAGAGTAAAATGTTACAAGGTCTTTGAGGCTAGACCCTGGCTTTTGTCCGTCCTACTCAACAATGCTCCCTTCAGGCACCATCATGCCTTGGTCTTAGCTGGTTCCATTCTAGCACAACCCAAGACCTTCGCTTACAATACGTGCATACCCTTTTGCAGCATCTTTTACATTTGAATTCTCTTCCTACTGCCCCTCTCATTACTACAGTATACATTTATTTTTCCTTCAAGAACTTAACAGCATTACAATCATATGTTTATACATATACAAACTCCATAAAAACAAACACTTCATCTATGCTGTCCCTGCCTATTCAAATGAAGACATAAATTTATTTTGTAAAACACTTCTGGAAAGCAGGAGCATTGTGATAAGTATAAACTGTTAAAGGATTTATTGTGCACGTATTTAGGTTTCTGTATGTGAATGATGGCAGAAACTCTAGGGGAGAAACAGACAGGAGAAGGCACTGTCCTGCTCAGTGCTGAGCTACAATGGGCATACATTCCTTCCTTTCAGGCAGGAACTTATGTGTTCCCACGACACGCTCTTTCTCTTCCTACAGTGACTTGGTAAATCATTTCTTGATTTTCCCTAATGTCTATGTCAAACGAGAAAAATATTTCCCATAAACTATTTTTTGAGAAACGACATCCTGCTCAAAATTGTTTCCACAAACAATCCATATTAAAGAACTTCTGGGTCCCAAGGACCTGACTCAGTTGTCAAGCTTGGTGAGAAGTTCCTTCTTTATTCACTGAGCTGTCTCACTGGCCCTCAAATGTCTCCCCATTCTTTCAAGAATGTTTAGCTGTTTGCACCACCACAAGGCTTCCTTCTTCTTTTACAGGTCTAATACACTGTACAGTCCACTCCAGTTGCATGTGGGCATAAAAGCACTTAAAATAGTCCTACTAAGTGCTAGGATGCTACTGTGGATTCAAAGCTTAGTCTGTCTAATTAGGAAGTGTGTGGAGAATTTGAGGGAAGGACAAGAGTTAGGTATGATAATCCAAGAAAGTAAAAGGCAGATAAAAACGAAGTATTGCTAAATGCTTCTTTCCATGTGGAATCCGAGAGGTTTTAAATAGCAAACTCTTGAGGGTGTCCCTCACTGCATGGTATTTATAACATTATGGGAAGTAGAGTATGAAGCTGTTCCCTAGCAATTGGGAATTGAAAGAGATAACGATTATCTGCCAACAAGAGTGTTCACACCAGGTACTGGATCTGCTGGCATCTTGATGTTAGACGTTCTAGTCTACAGAATTGTGAGGGGAAAAAACAAAACATTTGTATATTTAATAATCTACTCTATAGCATTCTTTTACAAAGGACATAAGTAAGTCAAACATCAAAACTCAGAATTAGAGTTCATTCATGAAGGTGTCCCACCCATCTCAAAGCACCTGCTCTAATTTCTGT